TGAAAGAAATCAAAGTGGTGAAGTGAGATCAGAGGAAACTGAGGGTGAGATGATAGTAGACCTGATATATCCCCAAATAAATCGAGCTAGGGCCAAAAAAATTTAGGAGAACTTGGTTAATTACTGAACCTTGGAATGAAAAATTTTACCTGGTGAAAACCCTTTTCAGTGGTTAAACCTTCTCCCAAATCAGCAAAACAAGTATATGTTATATTGTCACCGGTTTTTGAGTAAGGATCTCTCAATGCACTCATCCTACACCGGAACTACAGCTTCTACCAGGGCAAGGCTCAGAGCATACCCTCCTCCAAATGCCATGTCAAAGGAGAAAGCATTGTTGGCCCCAATAACCTCCGAGTCTGCCCCAATGTAATGATATTTAATATGGTCATACTTGGATAGCACATCAACTATATTATCCACAAAGAATAAAGTGTCATCATCTCCCATCATATACCACCTCACATCTCTGTTGTCTCCTAGCCTATATGCCTCCAGGATAGAACGACAAGATCGAACTCCATAGCAATTTGCAAGTTTTGGGTATGCTCTAAGCCTGGTGAGGTCTTCACTGACCTGAAAAGGAGGAGAAGTGGAAGGCCAATGTAGAAATTCTTCCGTTGGAGTTGAATCCAGAAAGATGTTTCCCCTAGTTTCATTTGGTCTCCACCAAGCTTGGATGTAAGGTTTTCTGAACTTGTTCTTACACTGCTTAGTAACACAAACCTGATGTGGCTAATGTTGGTAGGAGAATTGGAAGAACCGGATGTAGTTTTCCATTTGACCTCAAAAGGGTTGGTTATGGCCACAAAAGGAGTAAAATAAGAACAGGACCAGGCCTGAAATAGATAGATGTTTACATAAAATTCTTGGAGATAGACATGAAGAACAGAAGAAAGCATCGTGAAGGATAGGAAGAGATTGAAGAGAGAACCAAAGTGAATGAGGTCACATTTTCTAAAATGGAAAATGAAAAGAGTGGGGATTAGTTAGAACTGAAGGGTGCAAGATGAAGTTTCCAGTGTTTTTGAGTGATACCACTAGTTTGTTTGGATCAGATGCCACTGTAGCACTTAAATCTCCATTAGATCAAGGTTCAAAGCCTACGAAATCCGTCTGGGAGCACCTGCAAGAAGCACATGGCTTAAGTTGACCCGTAAATCACGAGGCACTCTTCACCGTTTCCTAGTTTCTGTATCTGGGTATTCAAAATTACATGATAATTATGCAGAAATGAAGTTCTAGAACATGTATGATCCAGATAGATAGAAAGAGCATAATCCAGGCACATATTCAATCTATACACTTAGATCAGATATACTGTTTCCAAAGATCATCTGGATGTTATGAACATATATCACGTCCAACAATCTATAGTGTGCTAAAGTGCATCTTTTTTTGCTTTCTACTAATAGCATCCAGCAGCTATTACCTACATTTTTCATGATCATCAACTGAAAATACAAATAAAAGTGTTCTGCGACCTTTAGGGGGGGGGGGAGAGGATAAGAATAATCATATGTTTTTAAAAGCATGCAAAGGATTACGGCCATTACAGATGTAGTTTTCCTCCTCTGATGGCTCTAGACGTATGATAACGAAACAGGTTAGACTCCAGCTAGCTGAAGCATTTTTAAATGAGGTTATGAATCCCGAGGGCCATCAGATGACTGTGTCTTTCTCAGATTCCAGTGGAGGCCATCCTGGATACTGCGGAGAAAATCGTTTGTGGAATCAACTTGACAAGCTGTAGGCACAGGCCAAGGTGCCATGCTACATACAAGCGCATCCCCAGCTGCCAACTGTTTTCTGTCCTTTCCGTCAAATGATACCCAGGCAGAGCTTCTGCTGTTAAAAGGTACTTGTACACGCACTGTTACATGCTCGGGCAATATCAGGGGCCGAAAGGATAATGAATGTGGACAAATGGGTGTAAACAAGATGCCTGGAACCTGTAGGTACAACAGAAAGAGTATCATATCTCCACACTAGACAGATTATAAAAGGGTGAAACTGATTGCTTTTGGAGTTTCAATTCAACTCCACACTTTTCTCCAATTTAACTACGATTATAGAAGAATGTACCTCTGGATGGACCATTGAACCTCCAGCTGCCAAGGAATATGCAGTGCTACCAGATGTAGTGGACAAAATTAAACCATCCCCTTGAACACAAGTGACAAAGGAATTATCACAGAAGCATTCAAGATTTGTGAGGTATGATGATATTCCACGGTCAATTGTAACCTCGTTCAAGACAAGAATAGGTTCTTCAGTTTCATATTCATTTTTAGCTGCATCTCTAATAACTATGCACTGCAAGCGGTGTCGTAAAGTGATACTGATCGGCCCCCTTAGGATTGTATCAAGGCATTCTCTGTAAGGTTCAGTATCTAAAAGGAATGTCAAGGAACATTTACTATCCATTTGGTTGAGAATTAACAAGCAATATAATTACAAAGATGCTATTTTTAATTACAGTCGATTTATTTATATTTAAGTTTCATTTGAAGAGGATACGAAAGGGCGTCATGAAACCCAATGACCCCAAAGAAAATGGGACAATCGGAGGAACTGGTCCCTTGAACATTGATGCTGCCTGCAATTAAGAAGTAGATGGTAAATGCTACGATAGCAAAAACGTAGGAAGAAAACAACTGACCTATCCTTGGTATAATCTCACATGTCCAACCAACCAAATTAATATTTTAATACTCAAGAAGATTAGCAACATTATTTCAAACTTGGCCTCATTCAAGTTAAATGAACATACCCATAAAACAGTTCCATCTCCACCAAGTGTTATCACAAGGTCAACTTTCGTGTGCAGAAGCAAAACTTCCCTCTCTGCAAAGCAACAAGGTAAATTTGAAATAGAAAAACTGCAATTGCCATTGAGATTTAAGCAAAAAGTAATAAAATAGTGAAATGGCCATACTGCCACTTATATTATAAACCAAAAAATGCAAATCAGGATATTCCACAACTTGAAACCATATTACATTACTATATATTTGCACCAGAGCCCGGAAACTGTATTAGATTTATTACCACAAACATCACTATATCAGTGGAGTCAATGCCCTTATGTATTAGTGGGACAAAAACACATATCTGGGACCTCCTCCCCCATAAATGGCATGTAGATCAATATGCATAAATGGCCTACTGCTCACCTTCGTTCCATGTTTGCACAAAGTTGAAGATAGAAGACTCTGTTAGAAGTTCAGCTTTCACCTGTGGCTCCACATAAATGTTTAACTTTTTATGCTCTTTCAACCATCTGGGAACAGATGCAGGAAAATGAGACAGATAAAACATTACAAGAAAACAATGTGGCTTTTAAGTCACAAGCATGAATCAATTGGACAACATAGCGCAAATAAGGCAAAAGACAATTAGCATTTCTTCTTGTTATATTGATTGACAGCTATAGCATATATAATTAAAAGCAATTGGGAGGGATTATCAAAAAAGAAAGGCAGGGTAAAAAAATGTTTTCAGAACTGAAAAAAATAAAGCCAATATCATTTTAAACATCTATATATATATATATGTATATATATATAGAGTAGAGATCCACTTACACACAAGTCTTACACACCACACTTACTCAAATCTTGACCATTCATCTCTCCACTTTTAATGGTTGAGATTTATTCATATTTATTAAAGATAATTTTTTTTTTTTCATTTAAAAAGTCGTGGTAAATCTCAACCATTGAAAGTGGAGAGATGAATAGTTGAGATTTTGTATAAGTGTGGTGTGTTAAGACTTGTGTGAGAGTGGATCCCTCCTCATATTTATATATATAAGATTTAACTCCCATCCGCACCTGACCATTTCTGCACAAAGAATTCGAACTGAAACTGAATTTGGTTTTTTCAAAATAAGCACAGTCTGAGGGTCAGATTCCCACTTCAAAGAAATCTGAAAAGGAAAAAGACATCAGATAGAAAGATAGAAGGCAGAGTGGACAACTGTGTAGTCAAAAGACATCATAAGAGAAAGAACTTAGAACAAAATAATCCACATTGGCCTAATGCCAAAAAAAAAAAAAGAGAGAGAAAGACTCAGTTTTAGCAAACAAAAGCTCATTTGATGAAGATGGAGAAGCAATACCTGTTTACTGCTGCGCTCAGCAGTTGTAATATTTCCTCTTTCAAAAGAGACAATATCATGGTTGTGCTGATCTTCATTTGCACCCTTGCACCACCATGAAAGTTTAAATGAAGCCTGCCACAGGAAAAACAATTCTCAATGACAGTTCAATTTGAGCTTTTGTAGCATAATTATTTGGTTCATTTTATGGCTTAAAATAGAGATAATTTTTGCTTGTTATTCTTTCTAATGTATTTCAGACATGGTTCTTTACAACTTGATTTATGAGAATAGATGAAAGCTACCATGACAGAGTCATAGAGATGTCAAACTTCTATCATAAAGTCAATGAAGCAAGAAGGAGAAGGAAAACTTCCTAAAATTCTTCATGTAATACAAGTTTATAACTAACCTCACAACTGTCAGGAAAAAGTACATTTCAAATTAAAAGAAAACAGTTATAGGTCAACTAAATGCAAACTCATCAACTCTACAAGGCCAGCAGCATATGATTCAAGAAAATAAAGATAGAAACTGGAATTGAGAAGTTTGTCATGTGCTTTGGAAAGCAAATTCTTGTGCAGATGTAATGGCTCATCAGTTCTACCACTTAGCACAGGATAGCATTACTTTAAGGTCCCTCCAGGCCAATTTTTATCAAGCCTTAGATTGGAAATGCAAGGTGTTTGCAGGTCACAGGCCTCTCGAGTATTCATTTTATAAAAAATGCCCTTTGTACCAAAAAAAAAAAAAAAAACCTGTGATAGATATACCTTTTTCATCATGTTTTTATTAGCCATATTGGGACTTGAATCAGATTCCCCATCATGAAGAACCTCATGGGAGCAAATTCCATGCTTCATACAGTCTTTCTCAGAATGCTCATTTTGTTCAATCTGTGGCACTGGTTCTTTAACTGAGTTCTCTGCCCTATGACCATCAAGATTACCAATACACTCCCCAGGTAATTTCTCTGCATTCCAAGATAAAATTCCTCAATTAAATAAAAGCATTTACCCAAAATTGTAAAACATAAAGGAGAAGTCAAAGTGCACAGGGTGAGGCAAAGAAACCAAAATTTTCAGGTCTTTCACACAAAGTATCATTAAACTTTAAAAGGAAGATATAAGTATGTCAATACATACAGAAGCAAAAAATGAGCACAAGAACTACCTTCTTTACAGTAGGGCATATAAAAAGCTTAATTTTGAAGGCTTTCCACAATATTTGAAACTCCTTATTCAAAGTGTTCCTACAGTCACCTTCACGAAAGTTTAAATGAGGCCCATCTAGGGCAAACTGCAACTTAGACTAGACCCACTTTCCCCTCCTAATTCATGATATTAAGAGCACCATGAAGATGTCAACAGCTCCCAATCACATAATCTGTTCTGAACATCAGATCACAAAGGCTAAGGCCCTTTGCTAATTCTTGAAGAAGGTATTATACAACCTCCCATCTTCTACAGTAGCATAAAGTGATCCATCTCTATTCCAAAACAATCATAACAAGAGAAAATTTCTAGATTCCTACCAAGAACCACGCCCTGTACAAAAGCAAAGAGCACTACAATTTTTTTCTTGATGAAGTTTATTGATTCATTCCTAGTCCACCAGTATATCTTCTTTTCAGTAGTCCCCCTTATCATAATAACTCCAGTAAGAGCATGAACCTTAAGAAAATTACATTGTTTCAGCAAAGCTCTAACCGATTCTTTAGTGGAAGCAACAGGCTGACTATAGTACTGCTAAAAGTTAAGCAAGTACCTCCTGATAGTCTCTTGTTCTGTGCTTCCCATAAATGCAAGCAGAAAAGACAAGGAAGCATAGTTCTTATCACTTCCATAGCATTATCTAGAGAAGGGCAAGTCCAACAACTCCAAAGCAATTCACATATATTAATGCCTGATAGTGGAATAGGCATAAGCTGACAATAATGAATCCAAAATTGATTAGCAAGCTCACTGAAACCAAACAAGAGTGTCCTAGTTTTCTCTTCTCATGTAAATTTAAAACTTGAAAGTCTATAGTAGCTCAGACACAACAGCTAGTCCAATCTTTTTCCTTCTTCTGATAATTTGCATATACTTTATAGCAGGAAGGAATATCTTCAGGTAGGAGAGAACCAGGTCTTCCCCATAAAAGAGAGGGAGGAAATTAAAATTATCCAGCCAAGAAAAGAATGGGCAACTTGGTAAAATTCAAATTGAAAAAAGAAGTAATAATTATTTCAATGATACTTCAAAAGGACTGGAAAAAGGGTATCTAGACTATGGGCAATATCTCCATTAGGCACCGTCAATTAAACATGAAATTAAAATGAAATTGTAAAATAGTTTCCATTCAAATCAAGAGTGTCAACACAATATTCACTTTGCAAAATTGTACAACAAAAATTGTAAAGAGATGCATAAATAACAAAGAGAAAGAAAAAATAGAAAAAAAAAAACAAAAAGCAAAAAACAAACTAGAAGGCAAGATATCAGCAAGTTCATATAAGCATCTTGTGCCAGTTTCAATTTTCATTCAAAGGATAAAAACAGCCATAAATAAGAAGTTGCTCAAATCAGACTTGCCAGTTGAATCCTGACTGAGATAAAGTTGGACAAGATTTGGTATCACAAAAATGGATGAAACAAGAGGAGAGATAACATTAAATTTACATATGGGAGGGATTATTACTCTGAATGATTACATGCAGAACATACTTGGATCAGTTTACACAAAAAAGTTACAAGTAGAATTTGAAGAAAATTATGACATAATGAGAGGGTAGTGAACCTAAGAGACAGAAATTGTCATTTCATTTTTCTCATAAATTTCATGCACTCTAATCTAGTTTGTATGGTATTAGAAACCATTTCTAGTAGCCCCATTTTGCCAGTTGATCCTCATTTCATTTACCTGGCCTCATGATTTCTCCTCTCAAGTCCTCATGATCAATCATTTTGCAAACCAATACTTATTTAAATTTTCATGACATCTCAAGTGTACACAAATAATAAATGACAGATTTTCTTCATAATGGCTACACCAAGGCATGGGTTAGGTTATGTTGGCTACAAAACTAGTAACGCATTATGAGAGTGAATGATGAAAATTTAAAATATCTACTAAGCAACCACGCTATTAACTTGTAATAGGAGGAAAAAACAAGTGTAGACAAAGTAATGAGCCAAACCAAACAAACTAAGCCGAATTGACTACATTCATACAATATATATATATATATATATAGTGATACGAATGGTAAATTAGGTATTGACCAAAATGCTGCAACCTATAAGGAAAGAGCTAAAGGTCAAAAAGGAGTGTAAAATTAAGAAAGCATGAGCCATAAGGGGAAAAGCAATCACAGTTACACAGGAAAAATGACCCAGACTACATCCAATGATGAAAAGGACGGCAGCAATCAAGTTAATGTTCTTTTCCACATCAAATATCACAAATGTTAGAAAAGGGAGGCAGTTCAGCATTAGAAACCTTTATGCTCCAACTGCAGATTCCGTGATCTCTCTAGTTCATATCTACGCTTCCACTCAGCAGCTTCAGCTTGAGCAGAAGCCTTCCCTTCAGCAGCTCGTCTTAATGCCTTCGCGACAGCTAGAAACACATAGAAAATGATATAAGCATAAACTGCACGGAATATTTATGGGTACAAGAGATAATAATTCAATAAAGCATGAAATAAACATACTTCTCAAGGCCTCTGAGAATTCTACTAGATGATCATCCGTTCCCTGTAGAGGAGTTTGTTGAAGAAGTTCCTCCACTGCCTTCTCGGAATGACAAAGAGAAAGTGAACTAGAAAAACCATTTTCTGTTTTTGAGCATGAAACAATTGCATCTCCATCTCCACAGGAAGCCTATCAAACAAAAGCCGAAGTCAAATTACAAGAATGTTTTAAAAGTTGTTTACTTGAGAGCTCTATTCTGTCTGTTCAACATATAGGCATTGTTCAACATGACCAACTCAAACTTCTCCCAAATTTTCCATTCTCACTCATACAATACAAAGAAAACAAAGAACTGAATTGAGAAAGCATTCAAATCAGCAAATACAAAAAATTTATGTAGAACAACGGAGCAATCAGCAGCAACTAAACACCCCAACTGGAGAAAAACTCACATACAAACCCTAATGATAAGCAGAATAAGCACCCATCAAACAGACTAAGAATCACATAGAAAGATAAGTAATTACACTGGAATCAGCCTTGCTGGGAGCCATGGCCGACTGATTGAGGTTCAAAAACAAACAGAAAGATGCAAGCTTTGATCCTTCACAATTGCATCCCCATGAATATAAGCCATTAAATCATGGGGTCATCTGATCTCATCTCACTCTGGCTAGAGAGAAAGATACAGAGCGAAGTTAGGTGGAGTAGATGGACAAGCAGAGGAGAACGTCTACCATCCAACCGGGATACCACATCAGATGGTATCCCCATCCAATAACAAAATGACAGCTCATTAAATTTGAACACCTCATCATCTGATTCATCATCCACTTAAACACAGCTCACTGTTCGGCAGTTACCACAATTTAACTTAACGGAGGAATTGTTTATCCCCCTAAAATAACTTAATCGTCCCTTCCCTATCCTCCCCCAAGTGCTCATCGCTGACGAAAGGAGCAGTGACGATCTAAGTTTGCAGGATCCCTTACTCCCACCAAATTCCATCTTTCTTTTCTTTAATACCAAAAATATGAGTTCTTCTGATTTGTGAATAACGGGTTCAAGGAGATTTGTGGTATGGAAAACTTAGTGGTACACAAAAGAAAAAAAAAAAAATTAGCTTTTTCAGATCTGGGCAAAAAAGAATCAGATTAAAGTTTTTTGGGTTAAAAAAAAAATATTAAAACTTTCTGATGATGGGATTTTGGAGATAAAGCAACTCGATGCTTAAATTCGCCTAAATCCTATATCAATACAAAGCTCTATGCACTTTGTTCCTGCGTTGTTTATTTTAAAAGCAAAAATTATCTTTTTTTTAATTGCTACAGCAAAGGTTAGAGCTGAGTTGAAGACAGAGAAGGTGAACTTCGGTTTTAACACGATACTAAAAACAAGACGAAATCAAAAGACCCTTTGAAGTGTAAAATCCAAAGATAGTTTTTCGGTAGCAACATTAGCCAAATCTAAACAACCACCAGTCTTTTATGGCCTAGAAATTCAAGGAAAACAAAGTCAGATCATATGAAAAGCTTCTGCAAGTACATAATTTCTATAATTGTTCTGTTTGGCAACTTGAATTTAACAATGTGTATTTGAATTTGAAGTGCTCAAATTCAATTTTATTGTTTGTTTTTATTTAAATAAAATGTAATTAAATTTGGATGAAATACATATATTTTAACAAAATAATTCTCAAGAGTAAATACTGTGTATTTCAATTTCACCCTAAAACCTTCGAATTTTAATTTTGAATTGAATTGGCCTGTACTCTCTTGTCCCCGACGACGATGAGCCTTCACCGTCTGCCCTCACTCTACCGCTGCTCCTGCTGCTCCCTCACCTTCGCGTTGTCGGCCACTCAACCTCTCCTTGATAATAGGTTCTCGATCGCGCGCATCTACTTGACTTTTCATCATCTCTCTCGATAGATTAGCGCCTCAGGTAATTCCTTTTCCTTCCTCAAATTTTTATTGATTTGCATATGACTACCTCCTAAATCAGCTCTATTTAATTCTGTATTTGGGTTAGAATCCCTTGATTTCGTTTCTTACCAAAGAATCTCGTCCGCCTTGACTACTTCTTGCCGTGATTTTTTTTTTTCTATTCTGCTTCTGCCTTTCCGTATTCCCCTTGAAAGAAAACCAATTTGGGAAGGAAAACATGGGTGAGAGGTTCATTTCTTCACTTCCTTTCCTCCTTTTTGCTTAGTTCTCTGTCTGGGTATTTTTACACTTTTTTCTTTTTCAATTTTACATTGTTGAGTTCAGAGTTCTTGCATAGGAGAATTATGAGAAGTAATAAAGGTTATTTTTAAAGATTTTATTTGGGTTTTGTTTTTTTGGTTTCAGTTTTAAGGTTTGCTAGTTTGTTTGAGTTGATTCTGAAGCTTAATTTTGCTGCTTTAGTTTTCTAGGGTTTGGTTGAGCTTTAATTTGAATTGGGTTTGTGTGAAATGTTGGTTGTAAGTATGAATTCTTGGTTTGTGAAATTAGTACCATTACTGGTTTCCTAAGAAAAATGGCATCTGATTTCTTGGTTTGTGAAATATGGCATAGTTAACAACATGAAGAAAAAAAAAAGGCTTAAGCATATTTCAGGATTCTTTGTGGTGGTTGTCTGTGAAAGCCTACCATTGCACATCATTTAAATTAATAATCACATTCTCTCTTCTTCTGATTTGAAATGTGTGATTCATAAATTTTGCTGTTGTTCACTCATTATGCTGATGAATAGATATTTCTTGTATATATTGATCTCCTTACAATGTAGCTTACTTTTGTAGCATCCTCCAACCAAACAAGCTGAGCTGTAGGGATTTTTTATTCTTTACATTATGAACAGAAAGGAAGATACGACTTTTAACTTGGCTTTTAGCTGATAGACTCAAGTTGTGTATAATTGGCTCCTGTTATGAGAACACCATTGACATTCTTTATTCTTATGTGTTTAAATGTTGCCTTCCATTCTTCCTATTTTCATTTCTTCTTTAAGCAAAAAAGGTGGGTTTGGTATTTGCTTGTGCGTGTCAGCTTTCTAGTTGAGAACATGTGGAGTGGGTTGTACATGTTTTTCTTCATGAATGCATGATAAATTTCTTATTGGTTGCTTTTACAAGTGAACTATTGGAATTATTAACTCAATCTCTTTCCTTTCTCTTCTCTTTCTAGAGTTTTTCTTATCTGACTTTTTGAGGCATGACTGAGTGTTAGTAATATATTATAAATTGCAGCGGTGATCAAGTTCAAGTAGCTTCCAAAAATTACAAAATACTTGGGAACTTTTGTTTTACAAGTTATCTTCTTTATTAATTATTGTAGATCACTGAAGAAGGAAGGAGGATTGGGTTTTCAAGTTACTTACCTCTTCAATTTGAATATCTTTACCTCTTCAGTTTGAATATCTTTTGCTATGGTTTTAAATGTTGCATTGTTCTCCTCAGCACCTAGAAATCCATTCTTTAGTTGATCTTCTCAGTTGCTAGCTTTCATTGTTTTAAATACATGAATGGTATGTTAGTGGAGGTCATTGTTTCTTTTTTTTTTTTCTTATCTAATTTGTTTATCTTGAAATAATTTAAATAATATTTTTTTGAACAATTTGTAATTATTTATAGGGTTAATTGGGAGAGGGGGGAAAAAGATTCCGTAGGGCTCGAACGTGCAACCCACTTGAGGTGAACAGCTTTAACCCAGAGTCCAATACCACTGGGTCAGAGCGGGCCGTTCAAATAATATTTTGAAAAATTAAAATTGTTAATTTTGATTTTATTAAATTTAAATAATAATTAGAAAAAAATTTAATTTAATAGAGAAATTCAATTTTAAATACATAATATTTTAAAATATCCAAACAATGTATTTAAAAATACATGTATTTAAAATTTATTTATTTTTAATTTAATCCAAACAATATATTTCAAAATACATATATTTTAAATACATGTATTTCAATTACACTCATCAAATTCAAATTTAAGTTCCCAAACATAACCATTATGAATTGCAGCAGAAGTGGAAGGTATGAGAATTCCAGAAAGAAAGAGAAAGACAAAGATGAGAGAGGAATGAAGGGAAGAGAAAACATTTGGGGCGATGATGTTCTCCGTTTCATATGTTTCCGTTAAGCTAGTGACATGTCTTATTTAATTAGGAGGTGTTTATTTTTTTATAAGGTGTCATTCTATTATTGGATGGGGATACCAGCTGACGTGGTATCCCGGTTGTATAATAGACTTTCTCTCCGCCCCAAAATCTGGTACATCGTTGGGGTACAGGGTTGTACTTGCAAATTGCAATCAGATCCTGACAAGTGGGAGAGAAGTGTGGTTCCAGGGTTCCTTTGATTGGAGGGTGATAAAGAAGACGAGACAGCAGGTGAGAATTGGATGGTCAAATGTTGACTGCTACCTGAAAAATGTTCCTTTGTTGCTGAAATGTGAACACACTAAAACCGTTTTAAGAATTGACTTAATTTCCTTTTTTTTTCTTCCATAGATGGCTCTCTATATTTCCTGAATTGTGGATATCGATGGACTCTCTTTACGGAGGAGAATTGGAATTTTGTTTGCTAAAACCAATTTTTAGTTTCTTACTTTATAAAATTGGTAGGTTTTAATCTTTAACTTTATAATATAATATTTTTAACTCTTTATTTTATAAAGTTAATAAGTTTGAACCCTTTATAATACAAAATTGATAGGTTTTAGCCTCTTATCTTATATTATGACACTTTTAACCCTTTATTTGTATGAATTGAAGAAAATAACTTTTATTTAATATCAGATTATAATATTTCTGTTGGTTCTGTTAGTTGACTATTAGTATCCGTTAGCATTCTGTTAATGGAACTAACATATAAAATTGAATTTAAATTTCATGTTTTTTTATAACGGAATATTAACGGATGTTAACAGTCAACTAACAGAACTAATAGAATGTTATAACCTGATATTTTGTGAGGGTTATTTTTTTCAATTCGTATAAGTGAATGGCTAAAAATGTCATAATATAAGGTGAGAGGTTAAAACATATCAATTTTGTAAGGTGAGGGGCTAAATCTATCAACTTTGTAAGGTAAAAGGCTTAAAGTGTCATGTTATAAGATAAGGGGTTAAAACCTATCAATTTTGTAAGATAAGGGGTTAAATGTTGATTTTTGCCTTTTGTTTTCTGAATTATGGCCACTAATTCAAGACTACCAAACCAACTCCATCAACAAGGCGTGATCCCTCTGTTTTATTTTACGTGGAATTTTCTACTTTGGGGGCTGAGGTTGCCACTATTAAATTTGTTAAACTTATGAATTTAATTGTAATTTTATACATTTATAATTTTTTAAACATTTAATTATAATTTTTAAAACCATTTATTTATAAATCCATATCAATTTATTAAATAATAAATATTA